ACAGCAGCCCTTGGGGAGCACAGGGGATGATTTCCATAGTCTGTCTCAGTCCACAAACCCACCCCAGCCCATAGGGGCAACCAGAGATCTCTTCTGGGCCCACAATAGGGGAACACTTGACTGCAATAGTAGTAAGGACGGTAGGGACACATGCTAATTCAGGAATGTGGAAAATTAATTTCTTTGAGGCTCATATATTATGCTTCATGAAGTCAGAAGAACAGACACCCCAATTCAGTTTTTTATGACATATTCTAAGTTTTCTCTATGATATAAAGGCATTTAAGAACCTCAAACATAAGATCTCCACAAAAAATGATCCTAGAAAAATCCCTTGTTTCTTAGATCATATTTGGTAGTTGTACAGTTGTCCTAAACTTCCATCCTCATTATGGAAAATTTCATGCCAAGCAGTGGACTTTTAGCAAGTGGCAGCATAGTTTAGCAAGACATTGATATGCTACCTTTAGCTGTAGTTAAGAAAACTGACAATGCTATTGTAGGCACTGTTATATATTTACAGTATAATGCATTACTAAATGCAAAATATTTAAGTTAGTAATAAGAGCATGTATGTGTAGAGGAAAATTATTATGAATTTACCTTCATTTTCACCCTTATTTTTTATACTCTGTAATAACTCAATACATTTTTCTCAGCTAAGCAGTATCAGAAGAGTGGGTAATTTTGTCATCCAGAGCTGCTTAAGCATAAGAATAGTTGCACGACTGTAGTGAAACAAAAACACAGGTCTACTCTAGCTTCCTTTGACAAGCCTATATAGTAACTAATGCTTTTATAGCAACTAATTTATTTTATTCCAAGGATTAGTTTACTGAATAGTAATAACAGGATACTTTGGCACATGCAGACACATCTCCCTGAAAATGCTGTCCCTTGCCCAGGTGAATTTCAATGATCTGCTCTAGCAGAACACATAACATGATATCAGGAAATGGCAAAACATCTCTTCCCCATCCTTCTTTGAGCTTCATTTCTAATCCACTGTTATTGCTTTTCTGTGGCAATAACTCTGAGCTCTCTTTGCATTGCGTGATGTTAAGGGCACAGTTCTCATATTAAGCTGAGTAGGGAATGTCACTATATATTAACCTTAACTGCACAGAACATAATTGAACTCAATGGGACATACTGCCCTCTGTGTTTCAGTGGGACTTGACTTTGAAGAAATAATAATTCACTGGTTTATAAAGGCACAAATAAACTTATTATACAAGGAGTGCAGGTGCAATACTGTGATTTATAGACACTGGTATGATTCACCTTGAGATTTTTGTTGTATCTTGCCAAAAGCAGCTATTATCAAACCCCAAATGACTCTTAACAACACTACTATCGACATGGCATTTAGAAGTTCCTTCCCTAGTGGGAACAAAACCATCTCTTTCCTTCCAATGTTGAAAATTAAATGCACAGCATTAGCACCATCAGTGAAGTGTTTAACTTCAAAATTGCCTTTCCTGGTGAGAATGAAAATAGTACTTGTTTTGTTTTTCAAAATTAACAGCAGTGTTTTTCTCTCTTTTCTAATACACAAACTCATCAAACTGAGATACAGTATGTCTCTTAGTGCTCATAGAGTACTACATGTATACATCTATGCTTGTCTGCACACCATCCCATACTCCAGGAGTAGGATTTATCCTGTTTCCAGTGGGATTCAAGCACACAGTAATAAAGTAGAAAGACTATGACTGGAAAAAAACAGGTAGGGAAGAAAAAAGGCTCATTTTTTAAAGTCATCTTTGTACCAACAAGAATACATTGATGCAGCAGTAACACCAAAGAAAATAACCCAAAATTAAAGCATAAGGTTCCAGAAAGGTATCAGACCAGAGAAGTTGTTCACTACAACCAAAAACTGTTATGAGCCATTCTACATGTATGCAAAACTGTTTCTGATTTTTCCCCAGCTGACACCAATATTTGTGTTTACACATATAGTCAGCGGGCAAAGAGGTGAAATGGTTCTCAGTTAATTTGTCCTCTAAAACTGGGCAGGAAGTTGTTCTTTTAATCAGTCCTTTAGCCACTCTTGGTCTAGATAATGTATTACGCTCTGTAGCTCTGCTGGGCCTCCAACACTTCCTAGAACAATTATTTTGTAGGAACACAGGACTTACAGGTGAGTCCATATAAACTTATGCACATGGGGTGACTGGAAACACTCACAAAGCTCTGAGGTGTGGAGTTCTACACCTGTGGTTTGGCTGTCATTAACCCACAACACCACAATACGACTTCTGGAGATCCCTCTGAGTGTATGAAATGTTCCTATCACCATCCTATGGAGTCTAACCCTCCCCAGCTCCACTCTTAACTGGTATATGAGCAGCTCAACATGGACTAGTCCTTAGTCCACTTGGCAATTCAGATGCTTGTGGAGGAGGACAGGGCATTCTTGTCTGTATTGCTTGCTCTTCCGCAAGAGTACAGACAGTTCTGCTGCAGCTACTCAGGCTTCGTTGAATTCCTGCTGTCTCTGAGAGGCAGATCTCAAACCTGGGTCAAGTCTCAACCAGCTTCATTAGAAAGAAAACTGGTTCATTCTTCAATGAGCAAACAGGCTGGCAGAATAGATGATCTTGGCCGAGGTACAAACTCAAACCTATGTTTGCTAAAGATTCCATTTACCATTCCCTTCTAAGATCTGTTTGGACCATGAAGTCAAGAACTGTGGTATCACAGAGGTCTAGGAGACAGGACCACCTCACCTCTACTAAGCAGAAACCCTAATGTGACAGATCACGTCTTTCCTGCATTTGAAGCTACATTACCTGACAACCACTCATGGGATTGATACAACTAATGACTGGAAACAGATGTGGTGACTACAGTTTCTAAACTTTCTGACACTGTCTTGTAACAAACCCATTGTTCCAAGACACCCACATCAGAGAGGGTACAAACTTTCTGCCCATTTCTTCCTCTATGTGCAAACACAAAACAACAGGGAGCCTGTCAGCCCCATCCCATTCATTACTGTTCTCTTGCTCTCTGTCACTGAACTATTGCCAGGACACAAGGTAACATTGTTTGGCCTAACCAGGAAAGCAAAGGAAAAGCACTTCCATTCTAGCAATAGATAAAGAGCAAAAGTACACTGGACTTCATTTTTCTGACTTCATTTCTTTAATCACCTAGTTTTTGGTCTACAGAGGTACTCTTTGTTAAGCCACTACATAACCACTTCCACAAAATAAGACATCTAAGTCAGTTAAGGAGAAACACTCCCTCCTTAAATGCAATCTACCCTGTAGTTCAGTTCATGATGACATGTAGGTGTTAAAAATTGAAAAGTCAAGCAAACCCAGACTTTCAATTCAGGAGGAAAAATCAATACAGCTCTCCAGGGACAGCCCTTCAGAATTCAAATTTTTTTCCTCTTTTGCACTGATTCAGCAAGCCTTATCTTCGCAGACTGAAACTTGTGATATTTTCACAGTGTGCTTATTACTTTTTCATAGAGAATTGTTCAAATGGTTTTGAAACAAATTCTTTTGCAAACAAAAGACAGCCTACAGAGCTGCAACAGCAATTAGCTGAACCCTTTAAATTCAGCAGTTCTCATTTAATGCTTCCTCCAAAATGCCACAACAACCCATGTACTTGCCACTACCTTCCTGTCATCCTTCCCGTCACATGTCAATGTTGTAAAACATGGAATATGTCAAGATTATTTTAAGTCAGGTTAAATTTTTGGTGCAAGCCATGAGGAAAGGAGACCTAATCAGGAGAACAGGCAGCAGCTAGCATCCCTTAGTCAAGGACATCCAGGAATTCACAGGCTTTAAGAACACAGCAAATCAAGATGCTGATGTACATCTATGTATACATTGCTAGCTTGGCAAGTACTCAAGGTCCATGTATCCTATACCTGAACTATCCTCATAATATTAAAATTTGTCCCTATAGGTCAAAATACCCCTGCCCAGGTGAAGACCCTGCCCCAGAGCTTGGATAGAAGTTAGCTGGGGTTACATCAATTCTATGGAAATTACTAACCAATCATAAGAGAGGGGCACCCCTTGGAAAGTAACTAACTCCAAACTTCTATGTAGCAATAACAGCACAGAAATTCTGGAGGGGCATATTTGTTTTGTGGAATACCACTGGGCACCCAGGCTTGTGCAACTCTGAAATAAATATTCACTGTCTCCCTCTTGAGTATGCAATTATTGTCCTGTTGCACATCAGGTAACAGATCTGATTGTGTGGACAACACTGAGGAAGAAAGAGGGGAGGACCTGAGGGTCTTCCTCCTTTCACCAGTGGAAGAGGATCTGGGGGTGCTGATCGAACACGAGCCAGCATACATGAGCAAACGTTTTTCCCAGGTGGCCAAGAAGACCAGTGGCATCCTGTCCTGGATCAGAAATAGTGTAGCCAGCAGGAATAGGGAAAGGATTGTCCCTTTGTACTCAGCACTGGTGAAGCTACACCTCAACTGCTGGGTCCAGTTATAGGCCACTCAGTTCAGGAAGGACATTGAGGTGGTGGAGCAAGGCCACAGGAGTGAAATGAAGCTGATGAAGGGTCTGGAGCACAAGTGCTACCAGGAGTGGTTGAGGGAGCTGGGGTTGTTTAGCCAGAACAGGAGGCTCAGGGGAGACCTTATCACTCTCTACAACTACATGAAAGGAGGCTGTAGCCAGGTAGAGATCGGCCTCTTCTTCCAGGCAACCAGCGACTGGGTTAAAGGGCACAGTCTTAAGCTGCGCCGGGGGACGCTTAGGTAGGGCATTAGGAGGAGTGTCTTCACACAAAAGGTTGCCGAGCACTGGAACAGGCTCCTCGGGAAGGCGGTAAAGTCCCCATCCCTGGAGGTGTTCAAAGGAAGACTGGACGTGGCACTTAGTTCAGTGGTCTGACTGACAAAGTGGTGTTCGGCCAGAGGTTGGAGTCCATGATTTCAGAGGACTTTTCCAACCTAAGTGATTCTGTGGTAAAACGCCAACTGATCCCCCACGAACTCCGACCTCAGCAAGCCTGGAAGAATCAAACCTTAGGGCAGAACTTTTGTTCACGCTTTCACCAGTCACAATGCAGGGCTGGTAGCCGCGCCCAGAGCACCGCTTTTCCCCCAGCACCCCGCTATGTGCGGGCGGGACGGGGCAGCTCGGAGACAAGGCCTGAGGCGAGCTCTCGG